TGAGAGCGTGTCGTGGACTGCCAGAACAGCCCTAACTTTGTCCCCGAAGGTTGTCCACTATCTTTCGGAAAGCTGTCACTTGATCCCTGTAAGATGCTGCCACTGGCAGTCAACGATGGACCCATGTTTGCAATTAAAAAGCTGCTGGAACATACCCCTAACGGATTATAATTCGAGCTGCCACTTCCTCCACTTTGGTCGTATTTCCTCCACATCGCGAGCTAATTCCATGGTCGTCTCCAGGTTATTTGGCCGTAACAAGCGCAACGAACTTCGGATTGCTTACCCAAGTCAACTCATGTAGGAGCCCAAATAATGATCATCGATCACTCCCGGAACTTGGCTAGCCAATTCAACAAACAAGGTATTGTGATCCTCCACAAACCCAGTTTGTTTGACTCCGGACAGTCGTTCAAACCTATTCCCCCGATATCGGGAATCAAATCCGGCAACCAGGGCCTGTTTGAAATCTTCCCAGCTTATGTCGGGTTTGCATGATCTCAGCCAGGTTACCCAGTAGAACGCTCCACTTTCCATTACCACCTCAACGGCAACCACCTTCTAATTCGGTAGGGTTTCGTGTAATTCGAACTGTTGCTCCACCCGAGCCGGTAGCAACGTCGGAGTTTGGGTTGCACAACACTTGGTTCACAGGCGGCGCTGTCACCGCGACACTTCCGACTCCAGCCGCGGCGGCAAGGTGACCGCTGAGTCAAATAGTTATTATTCTAGCTATTAGCTGCCAAAAGGTAAGATCATAATAATTGTTTCATCTCTACGTGTTTTATACCAGACTCTTTGTTTGACAAAACTTTTTAAAAATTTGTATTCTTTTAAAAAAGGTTTTGGAGGACAAAGAGTTTTGTTAAAATATTTGAAAAATTATGAACCAAAAGTGAACAATTTTAAAAAGAAAATTCCTGCAATTTTAAAAATTTAATGACCACCCCCCACACTTATTCCCCATTGTGGATCAACAAAGAACAATTAAAGCAAGACAATAAGCATATAACACATAACACATTAGAGGCACATTAGTAACAAAAAGGAGTTTAGCAATACTAGAAAAAATATTTCAAGTTTAACAATTAGTACACTTCCCTTTTGCTAAAACCTACTCATCATTTTCATTTCCATCTCCTGTGGGAGGAAAATAGAAGTTTGGGTCGTAGGGTGGTGGTGGTAGATTGAAGTGCCTCCCCAATTCTTGGCAATAGTGGCTCATGTTCCAAAGATGGCCTCCAAGTCCTTGGATGGCGCGCTGTTGATCTTGCAAATCCCGCCTATGCTCCGCAAGCTCCGTGTGGATTTGACCGAATTGCGTGGTCAAATACTCCATATCGTATCCTCCGTGCGGGGTGCATTGGTCTCTTCTCTTCGGTGCTCCACGCCTTGATCTTGGGGCACTCCTATACATTAGTTAGGTTTATTTATGAGGATACGATATGGAGTATTTGACCGCGCAATTCGGTCAAATCCAAACGGAGCTTGCGGAGCATAGGCGGGATTTGCAAGATCTACGGCACGCCATCCAAGGAATGGGAGGCCATCTTTGGAACATGAGTCACTATTGCCAAGAATTGGGGAGACACTTCAATCTACCAACACCATACGACCCAAACTTCTATCTTCCTCCCCGAGGAGATGGAAATGAAAATGATGAGTAGGTTTGAGCAAAAGGGAAGTGTACTAATTGTTAAACTTGAAATATTTTTTCTAGTATTGCTAAACTCCTTTTTGTTACTAATGTGCCTCTAATGTGTTATGTGTTATATGCTTATTGTCTTGCTTTAATTGTTCTTTGTTGATCCACATTGAGACAATGGGGAATAAGTGTGGGGGTGATCATTAAATTTTTAAAATTGCAGGAATTTTCTTTTTAAAATTGTTCACTTTTGGTTCATATTTTTTCAAATATTTTAACAAAACTCCTTGTCCTCCAAAACCTTTTTTAAAAGAATACAAATTTTTAAAAGGTTTTGTCAAACAAAGAGTTTTCATTACATAAAACAAAGAATTTTCAAAGTTTGCTTGAGGACAAGCAAAGGCTCAAGTGTGGGGGTATTTGATAAGCATTTCATTAACGTGTTTTATACAATCATTTATAAACGCTTTTATACTTAAAGAAATAAAACTCTCACACATATGCCTCATTTTGCAATAAATACTTTTATTGACGATTAGACCAAATACAAGGATGATAGAATACACACGAAGAATCCTGACAAGAGAAGGTCAACCAAATGCATCCCGAAGAACAAAAGAAAAGAAGAAAAATGCACAAAAAGGTGAAAGCCGCCCGCTTTCACCATCGTCGGCCGGTTTTCACCAGCCAGCCACTCAATTGCCGTTCAAAGCTGAACAAAAGCGTCTGGAGCAAAAGAAGACGAAAGCTGCCCAGCTTTGGGCGCCGTAGAATTAAATCATTAAATCGAGCCAAAAGTTGCCCGCCTTTCGACCCCTGGAGCGAAGTCAACTTATTTTAAAAGCCAAAAGTCGCCCGGTTTTCATAAAACACGCCCGGAGTTCATCTGTAAAAGGTTATATTAGCAACGGTCATCATAATCATTCGGGGAAAACACCAAATCCCATTAAGGGGCTTGCTTCCTTGTCCGAAAATGGCTGTTAAGGACTCAATATTTAAGTGGTTTGAAGCCCTCTCAACATGTCATTCCATATTCTACACACTACACTTCTACTTTGGCATCTCAAGAGCAACCTCTTGGTCTTGGGAGAAGTTCTTCAATTGGGGAAAGCATTGTCCACCATAGCTTTGGAGTTGTGGTATCAATTTCTATGTATTTCATTGTATTTTATCATTTCAATACTTGTAATTACATTATGAATTGTTCTAGCTAATTTTCCATAGCCAAGGTTAGGGATGAAACTTTATGCACTCTAGGTGTTTGAAGTATGTTCTCAACCAAATTATTATGATCTTACCTTTATTTTTATTGTTTTTGTATTTTTTTTCTTTTTTTTCTTTTTTTATGATCTTTCCTTTATATTTTAATGTGTATGACTACGGTGTACCCCGTATGATTATATCATTAGGTTTATTTATGCAATTAACGTTAAGTTATATACCGTGCACTTAAGGGTTAGACATATTCTAATTGTGGATAGAAATATACCTCAATTGAATATGGTGATTTTTATAATGTCCTAATCTTTAATGGGGTTAAATTTTAAATGAATGTGAACCGTGACGGGATTCACACGTAGAATTAGATCACAATCTCGTTGTCGTAACAGGAGTTAGAATACTTTAGTGACATTCCACTCATAAGAATTGGTAAAAGAACATATATTCATCACTAGGAGTCGTTTAGGAGTAATCCCGAACCCTTGGTTGCTTTTATTATCTCTTGAAAACTAAAAATCTCTACTTTTTTGCCAAGTCTTTTACTAAAACTCTATCCGAATTTGAATCATATAAACCATGTATGCTTGTGTTTGACCCGGTATTTTTACCGGTTTGTATTACTACATTGGCATTTGTACACTTGCAAGTTTTAGCCGATGTGTACAAGTTTTAGCCGATCACTGTTACCCTAACCTACCCCTACCCCTACCCCCGACCAATCCTTCCCTACCATACCTCGAGCCCTTGCTTGTACCCCTGCCCGTACCCCCTACCCAGCCCCTACATGTCCCCGTACCCTTAATCCCCTATCCCCGCTGATACCCCCTACCCCTAACCCTCCTTCTCTATCGTCCTGTACCCTGGCACGGGGATGGGGATAGGGATTTGTGGGAGGTGTAGGGTGGGGGTAATACGAGGATGGGTGGGGTGGAGTAGTTGGGGGTAGGTTTAGGGTGGTGGTTAGGCGTACGGAAAGGGTAAGGGTTGGATTGGGGAAGGTGGGGGTAAGGGGTACGGGGACAGGGTGTGGGTGTGGGATAGTGGTAGGTGTAGGGTGGGAGTAAGGGTACGCGTACGAATAGGGGGTCGGGGTAGGGTAGGGTAGGGGAAGTGGGACACGGTGCGCGGTAGGGGGTACGAGTCCGGGGTAAGGGGGTTGGGTATGGGTACCGACCTACAGTAGGGGTAGGAGTAGGCCCACATGTATTTTACATGAGAGTTTATGTCTATATGTGTATAGGGTTATTTGGACATTTTAATGTTAAGCGGTGTTTTAAATTCTGTGAAGTAGACATGAGTTTATAGTACCGCTTACTTTAAGCATCGCTTATTAACGCAAGTCTTAATAAGCACCGCTTAGTAACCTGTGACGTAAATGTATCCTAAGTGGTTTATTTTAATGACAACATAATTAGGCAATAAGCAGTTTTTGTCTTTTTGATTTGCTTATTTGACTGAAATCAATTCTACCGAACGATTTTCATTTCAAAACAAATTCAGTCATATGAGCTAGTTTGATTACTCTAATTACTCTACCCACAAGAAAAGTAAGCCGATTAATGCTACCAAATGCAGTCTTAGTATATCTGCAAAAATTATATAGAAAACAAGAGGAATATATTTCATTTAGGTAAAATCAAACTAATTAAAGCAACTTTCTACGTATTGCCTCTGTTCCATTTTGGTTGTCTTACTTTCTTTTTGGGTGGTCCCAAAATGAATGTCATGTTTTCTTCTTTGGCAAGAAATATGTGGTACATATCATTTCACTTTATTCTACTCAAGTCTCAACCACAACTTTCACCTTTTCAGCCACTTTATTAATAATTGTGTCAAACTAAAATAAACAACTAATATGGGACGGAGGTAGTATTGTTTTCTCCTTTCCTTAGAATTTTCTGTAATCCAAACATGCCTTAAACTTGTGGGTGGTGACTAGAGTAGTATATCTATTATCTATCTATATCCACACCATTTGTCTATGTAAAAGTTTCTATTTTCTTTTAAGTTCATTTTTTATATCGTTAATTCTTTATTCTTGGCTCCAAAAGCCTAGAAGGCCATAAACCCAGTTTCTGAATCAGCAGATTAACTTTATTTTGAATTGATAAAGAACTTAAACAGCACCACTTACCAGACCCTTATTAAAATGGAATTGAATAACAGGACTAGGTATTTCGCCAAAGTAATATTTGAGCCAGCTAATGGCAGTAACTCGGCAAGAAGGCTGACCGGGACTGGTAGCACACTTCTTTCTGGGCAAATGGAGACCATAAAATGGAGGCAAAGACATTAACTGTGGTGGCTTCGACCCTTCTTTGGGGCTGCCCAAACGGGCAACGTTGTTCGAAACTCGGATGACACGCTCCTTAAGAGAATTGTCACATCTTTGCTTGGAGTAGCGTCTGACAACAAACAGCAAGTGAGGGTCAAGCCCTCTTTTCCACATTCTCAGCGCATGCTTGATGAAATTCCTGGAGGTTAACATGAATCAATTCAATACACGAAGATATGAGTTTCTTAGATCAAATACTCCTTCAGTACCACAATAATTTGGTAATATTGATTCTAATAAACCGACCTTTAGCAGGGGCAAAAATAAAACAATATTTGGGGGAGGCTAGAAATACATGAGAACTTAAAATACTGAAATCGTAATAAAAGTATGATAAATATATAATAACATTTCAAAAGGCATATAGCTACTACTAATTGTTAGAAGATACAAGTTGAGACAATTGCATCTTGCATGAATTATAAAATATTTCATAAGTTTGAAATTATAAAATAAAAATGGACAAGAATAATTCCAACTATTAGTGATATGCTTGAAATAATCCAAAATATCATTTTTCTCTAAATAATATCAACTATTGAAATAAATTCTCAAAATACTCTAGTGACTTCTTATAATCAATAAATGACTTGTAGCATTTATAAGCAGGGGCGGATCTAGCTTTGCCATTCGGAGGGCTAAATTTAATTAAATAACGTATATTGCCAAAAAAAGGTCAAAATGTAATATAATAATGCGTATTTAACAAAATATATTTTCAAGTATAAAATAACATCTATTGCAACAAAAAAATCAAAGTCAAATACAAAAAAAAAACAAATTTTACTGTGCTCTACACGTTTTCATCGATTGATGTCTTGATTAGCTCCTACTTCAACAGGGTTATATAGTATCTCTTCATTACCTTTATTGAAAACAATGAGATTATTAGTTACTACATTAATACTAACTAAGAACATGTTTACCTCACAAGTTACTAAACGGTGCTTATTAAGACTTGCGTTAATAAGCGATGCGTCAAATAAGCAGTGTTATAAGCTCATGTTTACTTGACCTAATTTAAAATACTATTTAATATTAAAATGTTCAAAATAACCTTATACATATATAGACACACAAACATTCATGTACACAAGTATATATATAATATGTGGGGGCCTACCCCCTACCACCCCGTACTCTACCCATCCCCTAGCTCCAACCCTACCCCTACCCCTAATTCCAACCCTACACCCTACACCTATCCACCCCTACCACGACCATACACCCTATACCCCACCCTACCTCCTAGGTGTTTAGGGTAAGGTTAGGGGGTACGGGGGTATGGGGTAGGGCAAGGTGGGGTCTGGATAAGGTTAGGGCGGGTGGGTAGAGATAGGGTTAGGGGGTAGGGGTAACAGTAAGGGGTAAGCGTAAGAGTACATTCAGAAACTGAATATGCTTAGTTAATACAGGGGATGATATGCTTATTAAGCGGCACTTTAAGCACCTCTTTCGGTGAGTAAACAATTTTTTAAGTAGCCTGTGTGTTTAATTTACTTGTCTTACTAACCTAACTATGACTTTAGCAACGAAGTAAACACGTCCTAACTAAATAATTACGTATTTACATTAATAATAACAAATCACATTAGAACCTACAGATCACAAATAGTCAAATGAATCAAATTGATTATAACACATTAGAACCTAAGAATCACAATTCACAAATCAAATTGAATATAAATTATGCTCACAAATAACACACTTACACACCTAAATTGAATATAAAAAATACAATAACACTAAACGATTAACAAACTTATCGGCGATTGGCGAAGACCAGAATGGCATTTTACTAGAGACGAGAGTGATAACCGATAAGTCAAGAACCCAATCGGGTTTAGAAAAAATTGGGTCTGCAAGAAATTGGGTCTATGAAAAATTGAGGTAAAATCACATATAAGTCAAGAACCAAATTGGGTCTACAAAAACTTGAGAAATACTTTAAAATTAAACGACCAAATGGGTAAGTATTTACACTGTCTACTTTTATGAAATTGGAATGCTGGAATTCGAAATAGGTATTGAATATTCATTAATTCATTCATATCAAACAGGCAGTTAGAAACAACTTCAGGGGAGAGCTTAGCTTGTTCGGTACTTCAACAAAACCAAAGCCCCCAACTTCAAGAACTGAATATCAAGAAGCCAAAGCCTAAAAACCTAAACTGGAATTGAAATTACAGAAATAAAGGGTAAAGGTAGAGACCTGGTTACCTGGATGAAGGAAATGAAATTTACGAACTGAAGTGGCGGCCGAGTCGAGTGCCGATTAGCGCCCTGCGTGTGCGTCTTGCTGTCCCATGGTCTGTGGAGATGTATTGGGATTTCGTTTTTTGGGTTGTATTTTTTGGGCTTGGATAGTTGGACGGTTGGCCGCTACTTGCTTGGGAGATGGATTCCAGATGAACGAGATTTCTAGGTGGGCCACAATTTTTATCAAGTTGTTTTAGGATGGGCCTGATATATATACTACTACCTCCGTTCCTATTTTATCTTCCAACCCACTTTGACACACAATTTAAGAAAAGTGGGTATTGTGTGGTGGAAAGTTGTGCAGAAGAGAAAGAAATGTGTAAGAAATGTTGTGAACCACAAATTCTTTACCAAAAAGGGAAAGTGGAAATTTAATTGGAACAGACGAAAAAGGAAAGTTGAAAGTTTATTTAGGAACGGAGGAAGTACTAGTATATACTACGGAGTACTAGGTAAAAATAGTGGTAATTACCGGAAGAGTCTCCTACTCTTCTTTTTAGAGCTGCACTTCACAAGGATAGATTAATCATCCAAGCATGTTACTAGTTCAGTAGTTCAGTAGCAGTTCCTTTTAAATTCTATCATTCTATATATGTGGCTGCTTTTAAGTGTTATAAACTACATGGCTTAAATGCTTAGTTACTTTCATGAATACTAAAACTTTATTTTGAAATTATATTTGTTATTGCACGCTAGTTAGTAGTCGTTGGTTCAGAATCATTAAAAATATTTACATTGATTGTAAAATGATTCATAAAAAACCTATACCCCTACAGAGTGATAGCATGAACAATAAAAACCTAGTTTTTCCTAAACACTAGAAGAGAGCTATATGAATCAATTTGTTGTGCTCTTTCACAGAAAATTGAGGCATCAATTTAGAGGAAGATAATGAAATATACCTAAATAGAAATGTTCAGATGTTCTAGTTGCCTTAAACTTTAGGAGTTCTTATCAAATTTATTAAACTTTAATGTTCTAGTTAGTAGTTAGAACAAAAACAAAATAAATAGTCAGGAAATTTAAATGCTAAAAGAGCATAAATTAAAAATTTACAGCGAGATTTGGCAGAGCAAGCTAGACACACCTCTATTGAAATGTTGATTCGTTCAAACTCCTACTTACATGGAAGCAAAAGGGCCAAACAGAGGAATGGAGGATTCTCGCGCAGGGGTTGGAAAGAGAAGCGTCCGAGGAAATCAACCACACAGCGTCACAGCCGGAGGCATACCTCAGACAATCAATCGCCGAAGCCCGTGGGAGTTGGGACTGTCGATCACTCCGGATGTTTTTACTTGGACTGTAATTTGCTGGTCTAATCTGATCTGGTCTGGTCTGGTCTGAACTGGTCTGGTCTGGTCTGATCTGGTCTGGTTTCTTTGTATTTTTATAACTATCCAAGTCTGGTCTGGTCTGGTCTGAACTGGTCTGGTCTGGTCTGGTCTGGGACGAATTACAGTCCAAGTAAAAACATCCTCAATCGGCTAATTTTTGTCTTGATTTTAGAATGCACAGGGTTCGATCAAGAGAAGCGTCGGAGGAATGGAGCCATGGAGGATTCTCGTTTTGATTGTCGTAGGAGGAATGGAGAGCTTCACTTGGGTTTTGTAGTTTTTACTTTACTTTTGGGACTATGAGCTAATTGGGTATGGGCTGTACATTGAGTGGCTGTTTACTTTTTTTCATTAAGTCTTGAATGGATTAAGACGTCTGTCTGAATTAAGACGTCTGTCTGAATTAAGTGACACTGAGATAACAAGTTGTTTACTATGTGTGCTGAATGAGAAGTCTGAATTATGTTAAATGACCAAATAACCCTTCTTTCTAGAACAAGTACCGAATGCATATTATCTGTTTACATTGCTTATTCTGAAATATAATTTCATATGCCTAAAAAAAGAATTTCAAAACACGAACACCCAAAAATAACATTTTACAATGTGTCAAACCAGCAATGGACAGATTAAAAACAGCAACAATATTATTAGCAGAACACTCAGATAACATATGACTTCACTAATTTGAATTGCAAGTTACATTTTCCAGAAACTAAGTGAACAATCGGCAAACATACTCATCAACTCACACACTACTTACCTAGTCAAACACATCACAACATAGATTCTTCATACAATACAAAATATTGATCTAAACATCTATGGAATTGTTGCATATTTTCCACTGTAACTTGTTCTTTTTGTCCATTAAGTTGAATCTGGAGGTCGTTTATCTTCCTCAATAGATCAGGTATAACTGCCTTGCTCCTTGGCCATATCTCAAGATCAATCCATTCAAAGGTGTTGCATCCACCATAAACCTAAAAATCAATAAACAATACACAAAATTATAAGGAAGAACTCTTATTAGGAGAAATTGAAAACAAAACAGAGAGAAAATACTAAAGAGAAAAATATAAGGAAATACCGATATGGAGAAGGTGAGGGATGAGAGCGGGAGATGGAGATGGCATGTCCAGGTTGCTGCGACCGGTGATGGAATTTGCGGCTCTTCACTTGGCGCCGTAGAAGAGGTTAGCGAAGAAGAGAAGAGGGTTAGCGATGGAATGTGCGGCTCTTCTGAATGTCTGAATGGGAAGGAGCGTTAAATTTGGGCTGAACTATTAAGTTAAAAATGGTCTGAACGAATAAGTCATGTTTTAAAATAAGTCCTAACTAAACACAAGTATATGGCTGACCGAATAAGTCATTGTTTACTAAACCATGTAAAGCCAAAGGCCCAAAGTATATTATTACTCCCTCCGTCCCAATTTGACAGTCTCATTTCTTTTGGGCACAAGTTTTAATAAAGTGGTTGAAAATGTAAAAGTTGTGATTGAGATTTGAGTATAATAAAGTGAAATGATATGAACCACATCTTTCTTTCCAAAAAGGGAAACGGGACCATCATTTTCGGACATCCCTAAAAGGAAATACAGGACTATCATTTTGGGACGGAGGGAGTATTTAGTTTACTTTATATATATCGAACGGTTAGCGGTCAGTTCGTTCATCGGTTTGCGGTCGGTTCGGTTTTGGCGGTTATTTGCTCGCCCCTATTTCACAATCATTCTTACACATTTCTCTCTCCTCTGCATAACTCTGCATAAACAAATTTCACTATCTTAAAACACGTGTCCGGTCAAAACCGGAGTTAAATATGGGACGGAGGGAGTATCATTTATATCCCAACTATTTTTTCTTCATTTTTTACTTTTAAGTTTTCAATTTGATTTTGTTATTTCACATTTAGCCACTTTTGTCGACCTGTTCCGTAGATAAGCCGGGATTCTCGATAGAGGCGTTCTCCTGGCGTGTGGGTGGAAAACTCTGGAAGGTCCGTCAAACTCAAGATTGATCACCAATCTACTGGGACATCAGATTGTGGAGGCTCGTCTGAACACAAAGAGGCGTGAGCGACATCCGGTCCGGAGGAGCAAGCGACACCGACCTGCGGAGGAGCTTGTTCAATCTGCGGCGTTGTCTGCAAATGTGTGATCCAAGAGACTCGTTGCCGAACTGCTTGTTTAGGTATCCGATTTGTGACCGTCAGCCCTCAGCGGCCTGGTTTCTGGCCTAGGGAAACGTCCAACGTTCTGCCGCCCCCGTACGTCCGATCTAGGTATCCGAATTTTGACCTGAAGCAATCTACCTCAACGCTTAATTTTGTCTAAATTAAAGATGAAACTTTCTCAATTTCATTTATTGCTGGATTTTATCACATCCATGAAATCCAAGATGGAACTTTCAAGATGTCAATTTGCTGGTCAAGATGTCGATGTAGGCATCTACCTCCAGATGGAACTTTCTTCCCGACCTCGGAGGGGTTCTTCCCTTAGACGGATGGAGCTTTCTCAGGTGATGCAGTCTCATCCTCCTACTTCCTTAATGAATGTGACAGTATATCATTAGATAATTATGAGTGTGTCGCATGATGTTTATGAGATCCTTCCTAAGCATATGAAGAGTTTAGCATCATGGAAGGAAAATGCTTACTTCGTATTATATTTTTTATTATTATTCATTAGTTAAAGCAGTTAAGCAATGGTCTTATTTATTATTAATCCTATGGAAGAAGTGGGTTATGTCCTTTATTATGCCTTATAATTTCAATTTCTTCCCCAGGAGGGTTGTAATCATGAGAAAATGCTTAATGGCTAATGCCTTCTTATAGGACCTGATTGTCGCTATTGAGAATATGAATGCATGTCTTAGAAGAAAAACATTAAACAAAGTGTCATTCAAATGAATAAAGTTGAATCATTAGGATTGTGAATGAATTCAGTATCCATTTCTTAGTTCCAAATAGTTCCAAATTATATAATGCATAATTAGTTCGATGGCAAATTCTTATGAGTGTATGCTTTGTGATCTCTTTTAGTAATACAGTTAGGCCAATAATGATTTCAGATGTAATATCTTTCAAAAATGAAGGAATTATGGACAAAAGTTGTAGAAAACACAAGGTAATAAGGTAAGCGAGCAATTTTCACCACTGGAAGAAGTTAGGGAGATGCAATTCCATCCGAATGGTAAACATTAAGACAAACAACTATATGAAATGATTATTTTTGTCTCAACTGGTCTCGTGTGTTCTTCGGTCAAACCCTCAACAACGGCAGCACCATCACTAACCTCCATCACTACTTCATGTTGCTTCTGATCATGAATGCATAAGAATAAATTGAAGTATGAACTCATTGAACACTTATGTTTGTTGTAATTATATTCTTTTTGTTTTGCTACACTTTGTTTCACCATGTTGCAATTTGTTGCATCATGTTGCATTTTGTTGCACTATGTTGCATCGTGTGTTTTTTGTTATTTATTGTTGAGTTTTTTGTTTATTTAGGATCCAATTTATTTTTTCTGCATTGAAATAAAAACTAACACATACATATAAACACCTATAATAATAAATTTGAGTTTATGAATTACAACAACATCAAGAAACACAAATAAACAATTAAAAACAAAATTTACAAATTTATAAACAAAAAGAAACACAAAGAAATCACATGCAACAAAAAATACAATAAATGGAATGATGATAATATTACATTTATAAGTATTAGAAAAAGACATAAAAATAAAAAATAAAAAAATCATTTTTTGTCACATTTATGTTTTTTAATCATTATTGTCTATAATCACTCTTTTAAAAACTTCTTATTATTTTATTATGTTTTTTATTTTAGTTTATCATCCACATTTTTAATTTAAACTAGCCAAAATAATAAACAAGTTAAAGATCATTCAAATAAATTTAAAATCAAGAAATTAACTAACTGAGTCGAGATGAAATTAGGAATAGAGTAAACAAGATTGTAAGACACAATTACAAGACTAGCCTAGCTTAATTGCTAAAAACCTATAGGAAATTAAGGGAGAAGGGTCAAATAGGCCCTCGAATTTACATAAAAGGGTCAAATAAGCCCTTATATATAGGAGGCTCTGCCCGGTCGTCGCCATTTGGGACAGTTCCCGATAGATTTTTTTGATGAAATTTTTTGAGCATCTTATTCATTAAGTCTAGTTTACTCATACCAAATTTCAGCTAACAATTCAATCGGAAAGACATTCAAATGAAATTCTTGAAGATAACTGAGGGAACCGCTCCAAATGGCGACGGCCGGACAGAGCCTCCTATATAAGGGCTTATTTGACCTTTTTATGTAAGTTTGAAGGCCTATCTGACCCTTTTCCCAGGAAATTAACATTTAACAATGGAGTAAATTTTAATTTTTTTTTTTGATAATCCAGGTGTCGGGGCTTACGCTCCCATAATCCTGGAGTCTATGAACTACCCTCCAAAGCCCCTAGACAGTTAAATCCGGATCTGATCACAGTCAGCCTCGTCAGTACTGGCTCCAAAGGACGAATCCAGCAGGACTTACATCACCTTTCAGGCTGCTCCTCCCACCACACGAACCCGCTACCTTCATTACCATCCTCTCCCTTCTCATCCATTGAGCAACTCTGTGAAGGTAGGAAGAATCATTGGGAGCAAGACCTCCCTCATCTCCCCTTGATGGGAATTGAACCCAAGACCTCCGACAAAGGAGAGACTTGAGGATGGATGGTCATCCAATGGACTACACCCACCTTCCTGAGTAAAATTTAATTTATACTTGAAATAAGGGTCAAACAGGCCCTCCTACTATTCCGAAACCGTCACATAAACCCTCCAATTAAAAAAAGGTCAAATTAACACGTCTACAATTTTAAACAATCTCACGGGTCCAGATGACCGAAACCCAACCCCTAATTACCGGTGGAATCCTACGTGGACAAGTACTTTTGTCAAATCTGGAACTTTTTCAACGTCATACCCGTTGCATCATATCCCAAAAGGGTCATGTTGAATGTCTCTTACGGTTGTGGCTGAGATATTTCAAACAAACATCCATGGAGAAGAGGAGTGCATCCATCGAATTCAGATTTTAGGGTTTTGTGGAAGACCCAAAGCAACCCGCCATCTATCTAAAGCTCAAGTAAGTTCATCCTCTCTCCAATCTTTCAAATTCAGGGTTCTTAACCAAGTAAGTCTTCTTCGTTGAGGTGTTCAAAGTGTAGGACGGCTGAAATGTCTTCTGCTTCGTGCGGCTCAAATATTAAGGTCACTCCGACTCTTGATTACGAACCAGCCATGTACTGTAAATGATGGGTTGAAATCTCCTTTGTGCGTTACAAGAGGATCCGGTCGCCAGTTCTTTGGTTGCCAGAGATGGAAGGTAATTCAAGCTTATGAAGTTAGGGTTTTGGATTTATTTTTTCGAATTGGAAGCTTATTTAGTGTTATATTAGTATTTAAAAAATGAATTGATAGTTCTATGATTTTATGGAAACAATATTTTTTCCACACGAAATTAATTCTAAACTGATGCAGGTAAGAGCTATGTGTGGATTCTTTGCTTGGAAAGAAGACATTAAAATTCCAGAAAGAGAACATCCTACACCATGGGTTGAGGAGGTCAAAAAACAGATGTATGACTTGAGAGAAGATGTCATACATGGTCATGGTGAAGTAGGTCATTTAAAAGTGCTGGTGCAATCTGGAATTGAGGAAATCAAGATTGTGAAGTGTATCTTAATAGCAATTATTGTAGCAATGTGTTTGTTTCTTTCACTAGTACAGGGGAGAAACTAAGTCATGTATTTTGATGATAAGGGGGTTGACCAGCAATGCAGCAGCAGTTTTACGCGAGCTAGGTAGCCTTGTATTTTCATATTTTTGTGGTTTCAAGTGTTAGTATAGTTTAACATGTAATGTGTGGGAAGTGCATTAGCTGTATTAAACATGTTGTTATGAAACTGAATGTATTTCACAAGTTGTATGGAATAGAAAACATGTCTATGAAATGTATATTTCCCTACGTGTATGAATGACAGATTAGTATGGTTGCACAAAACTGTTGCTACACAAAACTGAAAGAGAGTTTAACATGCAGCCATATTACTGCACAAAAGTGTAGGAATTGATAACCATTTTGCCAACCTTAAAATAATACAAACGAAAGTAGTGGACAGAACTTAAAACAACTTAAAGTCATTGAAACACACTAATACCCCTACCTAGCAAAACCTAAAGTTATTGCTACCTCTTCTTAAAGTTACTGAAGCATTTTTTTAATAGAAGTGCATATGATACATACACACTAGTTATTTGAGATTTTTTCACTTTATAACACGAGGAACACCCATACATACATACATACTAGCACAGTTCTCTATATATTGTGCTAGTAACACCTTGAAAAAAATGGTGCATTAAGAAATGTGGGGCTTAAAAAATGAGTAAAGTGGGGCTACAAAAACGATTCATATATAACATTAGAAAAGTGAAGTCAAATAGCAAAACACACCATTACATTCAACTTCCAGTACACATAATCACCCACATAACCATAAACATTAAAACGGCAAAAGGGCCATTACATTCAACTTCCAATACACATACCCATAAACATAATCATGAACAATACATAGACATTACAAAACAAAATGGGTTCCATCCCTATAACACTTCCCAGTTCACAAAAGGGGTTACAAAACAAAAGGGATTCCATCCCTATATCACTTCCCAGTGAACAAAAGTGGTTACAAAACAAAAGGGGTTCCACCTTAGCAGTTCACTTCTCCTTTCACTTCTTCAGTCTAGCACTTTCGAGGTTAGAGCACTTGCTCACTTCGAAGTCTAGGATACAAAAAAATCAAAATTTTATCATTTATAATGTACTTATGTATAACAATTAATGTCATGTAAGAAGATTAGATAAAAACATACATCTACAATAGTTTCTCCTGTTTCAGGTTCTTGTACTCATCCTAGGTGATATACTTCAACAGGTGAGGATAAGAAATTTTATCTGGGTCGAGAGTAATAGTGTCCACCTCACCATTTACGTGTGATAGTTCTGCATCTTTAACAAAATTGCCCCCATGGTGTATTCTTAACTCTGCTTCCAAAAACATTCTACAAATAAAAAGAATTATTTAAGTGTCGACAAAGTGAAGCATAAAATTAGAAACCTTTAGATTGAGCAAATGATACTGTTACTAGGTTTGTTGGCTATAAGCTTAGTTATTTATTGTATTCATAAAATAAAAAAACACTAACGATGTACTGATGTACCTAGATTGACCATGTAAATTAAAGAAACTTAAACTGAAATCGAAATGTTAGCCTTTTATCTTACTTTCGAGAAAAGATGTGGAAATGTAGCCATAATAACTTCGTGAATCAAGAATGCAACATGTCTTGCTTGAAAACAATATGGTATTTGTTGCAGCCGTGGAGCACTCCGCACTCTGCAGCCGTTCTCATCTTTATCGGGTTCCTATTCTACATTTCACTATTATACCATATTCATGTATATGGTTTTGTGAGCTCCAGGCTTTGAAAAATATACATATGATGAATTGGGAAAACCATAAAATGACTCCAGAAAGTCAATTAACATTTTACTTATTCAACTGGCCGGATTTTTCACTTATAAACTAAAAAGATTAACAGCTTGACGATAAACCCATTTGCAGGTAAATACCCTTACATGGAACTTCGAAGCGGTACGAATGCACAAGAATTAGTTCTTCGATGGAGATGGACCCGACAACATCATTGTCAAATCCCTACAATTTTGTTATCCGCCATCGCTGCCTTCAATCGCGATTCAAAAATGAAACCCTAAGCGCGAATGATGTGCGAACAATTTGAACTATGGGACTTCATAATCCAAGTTGGAAAAAATATGCCATGTAGACACTCACAGAGAAAGTCCTTAGTGTTGGAAAATGTGTTAAAAATTGCATTAAATGGTCATTTTGGGACAATTATTTGAGTGGGGTCCACTTCTGATTTGGGTCGGGTCAAAGTAGTTTTGGATTGTTCTTGTTAAGGGCTACAATTCGATATATTGTACGCTCAAAAGGGATAACGGGTGAATGAGAAATTGATTCTCGAAGTTCACTCATTGAAATGGAAAAACTAGGAAAATGATGGGTTTCTAGTGTGTTTTATATCACACCGGAAAACTCAAGGGATTTTCACCCCCTTATAAAGGGAAGCCTCTTTTAAGGAGTTAAGATTCCTAAAGGTAAAGGCTCTCTCTTACGCGCAGGGGGGGTGCCGGTCAAATCCTGAAAACGGAGAAGAAAAACCGCGACTCGTGTGCGCGGGCGACCTGCGGACACAAATGCCGTCCGAAACTCTATCATTCAAAGATACGACTTAATTTTTTGTTCTTCTCGTAACGTTTTATTTTTTCGCAGAGGCTTTCTGTTGGACCAGAGAACCTGAGAGGCTTTCTGTTGGACCAGAGAACCTGAGAGGCTTTTTGTTGGACCAGAGAACCTGAGAGGCTTTCTGTTGGACCAGAGAACCTGAGAGGCTTTCTGTTGGACCAGAGAACCTGAGGGTTTCTGTTGGCTTCCGGACAGAACACCTCAAGGTGTTCTGGTGGGGGTATTCTGATCGCGCACCGGAATTTAATAAGGATGATTATCAGGAGGCAATGACTCCATTAGAAAAAAAACGTACATCTTACTAAAAATCATGGAGAGTGTATTTCTCAAGTAGAATACGCTAGGATTATTGGAAGCTTGATGTATCTAATGAGTTGTACCAGGCCTGATATTGCCTTTGTGATTAGTAAGCTAAGTAGATATACTAGCAACCCCGGTGATGACCACTGGAAGGCAATAGTAAGGGTTTTGAGGTATTTACGTAAAACCCAAAACCTTGGACTGCACTATGGAAGATATCCAGCTGTACTTGAAGGGTATAGCGACGCTAGTTGGATATCCGACATTAAGGACTCAAAGTCCATAAGTGGATATGTTTTCACTTTGGGAGGTGCAGCTGTATCATGGAATTCTCAAAACAAACGTTAATAGCTAGATCCACGATGGAGTCTGAGCTAATAGCCTTGGATAAGTGCACTGAAGAGGCTGAATGGCTACACCATTTTCTCGAGGATATTCCAAGTTGGAAAAAGCCTGTCCCTCCCATATGCATACATTGCGATTGTCAAGCGGCAATTGGAAGGGTACAGAGCAATATGTACAATGGTAAGTCTAGACATGTTCGTCGTATACATAACACCATTAAACAACTCCTCACAACGGGTGTTATCACTGTTGACTATGTGAAGTCAAAGGATAATATAGCGGATCCGCTAACCAAGGCATTGGATAGAGAATTGTTGGAGAAGTTGTCACGAGGAATGGGACTAAATCCTGTAAATTGAAAAGTTCTATAGTGGATACCCAACCTAGTTGGTCCTAGGTTCAAAAGGGACAACTAAATTATAGAGCGAAGGATGGTCACTGTGGGGGTCCCGGACTCCTACCCACTCCTCGTTAAAATAGTGACTCCCGCACGAGGTTAGTAAAAACGCTTGCTTTAATGATTCTAAAATGTTGATCTACTCGATAACATCGGAAGAGTATGCGGGATACTCGTGAAAGAATCACCTATGTGAGAGAGAAGAGGGTCGCTTCAAAGGAGAACTGTAAAGGTTCAGTTCTTTAGAAACTCTTGCAGAACCAGGACGGTGACCCATGGCCAAAACGGGCACACCCATGAGAACGGAACAAAGTTGGAAGGTTCTTGTGTAAAGATAAGTCAATGTTTACACGACGGTAGTATAGTTCAAGGACATCGAGTCTACTAGACAGCCAGTAAATAAATGTGTCTTTACAGCGGAAGGTTCAAAGGATAAACCCTACCTCTCCGTATGCAAGGATCATCCGGTGAACACAGCGTGTCCTCCTATCTTCATGTCTTTTTTGAAGTCTCGAAAATCAATTTTCATTCATGTCGGGGATTGTTGGAAAATGTGTTAAAAATTGCATTAAATGGTCATTTTAGGGCAACTATTTGAGTGGGGTCCACTTCCGATTTGAGTCGGGTCAAAGTGGTTTCGGATTGTCCTTGTTAAGGGCTACAATTCGATATATGGTACGCTCAAAATGAATAACGGGTGAATGAGACATTGATTCTCGAAGTTCACTCGTTGAAATAGAAAAACTGGAAAAATGATGGGTTTCTAGTGTGTTTTTTACCACACCGGAAAACTCAAGGGATTTTCACCCCCTTATAAAGAGAAGCCTCTTTTAAGGGTTAAGATTTCTAAAGGTAAAGGTTCTCTCTTACGTGCAGGGGGGGTGTTGATCAAATCCCGAAAACGGAGAAGAAAAACAGCGACTCGTGTGCGCAGGTGACCTGCGGACACGAATGTCGTCCGAAAGTCTATCATTCAAAGATATGACTTAATTTTTGGTTTTCCCGTAACGTTTTGTTTTTTCCCAGAGGCTTTCTGTTGGACCAGAGAACCTGAGAGACTTTCTGTTGGACCAGAGAACCTGAGAGGCTTTCTGTTGGACCAGAGAACCTGAGAGGCTTTCTGTTGGACCAGAGAACCTGAGGATTTCTGTTGGCTTCCGAACAAAACACCTCAAGGTGTTCTGGTGGGGGTATTCTGGTCGCGCACCAGAACTGCTCCAAGCCGTTACAACAATAAATGCCCAACGTTCTTGTCTTTTAATGTTGTGTTAAATGGACAATTTATGGACGATTCAATGCCCAACGGACTTGTCATTGAAGTCCAATGTTCTGGTCCATTAACACTCCATTTAACACACAACAAATCCTCCTATACATAACTGGTAGGTGGTTTGCAACAAAACAACACACAATACATTCCTCATGTATTTTTGAGCTCTAAAACACTTCCAGCTACTCTGAAAATTCCTGAGTGTTCTGCCTTTGTTTCCGTTCGCCGGAACTCTCGTTTGTGTGCTCAAACGTTAGTTCATTAGCCACCGTATCCTGGGAAACAGTCGTTGCAACGCTCCTAACACCGTGGGAGACGATGAATACGTTTTAAGGACATCGTGCGTAGCACGAGCT